CTTTTTCGTGCTGAGGTTTTTTCCCATAGCTTACTCCTTTCTGCAATAAACTTGGGATTTACTTCCCACAAATTAGCGCTATATGATCCTTTATTGGGAATAAGTTTTCCCATGCATTTGGAGTTTACTGACTACACAACCTTGATATATGTAAAATCTGTTCTCAATTATCAGATCCTAGTTTATTGATTACATTCCTTAGTGATGTATGAAACCTGTTTTCCACACTCCTATATAATTGAAGATATCTGTTTCCCTGCAAATATCTATATTGACAGGCATTTGGTTAGTGTTTAGGACCCAGGCTAAAGCATTTCATATAAGACTTCCGCAGATATCCAAGGACATAGAATTACTATGAACCCAAAATTGCTGTTTTATAACTGTCTAGATGGACAGGAAAAAATACACATGCCTGCTTTTTACTTCACTAGGAGATAGAAAAGAAATAATCTAAACTAACCCTGCACTAAAAAATTATGAAACTTCCTCTTTTATTAACTCAAGATTTTAGCTCAGAGATTTATTGCTCCCCTGTGTTTCTCCTGAGAAGATAAAGCAAAGGCAAACAGCCCATTTGCTCATGTTCAGGGAAAAGTAAAACTTTCTTGAAGGCCTGTGCTACCACTGAGACTATATCACTGGAAGGTGCTAGGTAGGTTTTGTTTCTTGTACAAATTAAGATCAGACACTCATTGACTTATAACCCTAATCAATGGAAGCTAAGTATTTCTCCTAGCAGTTTTAGTTCACTACTCTGTGTGTAAACCTTATTTGCATTGCTGATGCTGAAAAACTCAAGAATCATACTGAATTACTCTTGTAAATGTATATATACCTATACCCACAAGAATTAAGGAGAAACAGAGAAAGGAAAAACAGTGAAAGAAGAGAACATAAGAATGAAGGAAAATGCAATGAGCAATTTTCTGTGACTGAGTTCGTTCTTCCCTCATATGTTAGTTCCTTCCATATTTGCGTTTCCTTTATTTGAAAGCAAGTCATTTTAAAGTATTCAATAGTTAACAAATCATAAGTTTCTCCCTTCCCATGTTATCATGTCTAGCAGTATCATCCTTGTTCAAGCCTTGTTTCAGAAGCAACATTTCTAGAAGATAAAAATCTCACATCAAACTTTGTGTTTCTTTCTTGAAATATTTAAATGTCTATTCTATTCTGATCCCATACTGTAGATGAATTTGGAGTGTATAGTTGTATCAGGTAGCACTAGCTGACACACAATTAATACTTTATGGAGATTTGTCATGTTTAATTTTGCTATATTTTTCCTCATGGATTGAAAACCATAGTTTTATGATGAAGGTTGAGGCCTACACTGTTCTGTGGGTGTAAGCATAGATACTTAGAATATGGCTACTAATTATTGTAGTTTAATAAAATGAAAATAGCATACTCACTTGTTCTGGGTTCCAACATCAGACATGATTTACCTCCATAAAGTGCAAACATTTTCAAATTCCTTTGACATGGCTGTTAGAAGCCTGAAAAGAAGCCAGAAAAATATCCAACAAAAAGTGTTTTTTATATACCTCATAGATTTCCTTTCAACCTTTAACAGGAGAAAACTATGATGCTTGTAAGAAAATGGATGTAAGCAGTATTATAATAATTGAACACAGCAAGTCATGGATGAACCAGCTATAGAATTATTATGGTGGCAAATGTGTTTAATCCAAGCATTCAGGCAAAATGCTGGCAGGTCTGTGAGTTTAACACCAGGGTAGTCTAAGTATTTAGTTCCACATCAGCCAGAGAAATGTAGAGAGATCCCCAGAGAAGTTGGAATGAATCAAGATCTTCTGAGCAGATTGGGAGCACAGTGTGGGAGAGAAGAAATGAAGCAAGGAAAAAGAGAGGGAGAGATGAGGAAGGGAGATAGGAAAGGAGATACAAAAATATAGGGAACCATTCTTGCTTTGAGGGGAGATCTCACACTAGTGAATACTCCAGAGATCTACAAGGATGACAGCAACTGGCAAACTAATCAGTAGTGGAAAGACTACATTAAATGCCCCTCCCTAATAATGATTCTGACAACTGTCCTACATACCATCATAGAACCTCCACCCAGTGACACAAGGAAGCAGAGGCATACACTCATCTAAACATTCCTGGGAGGACCCAGGCTCACCTACAAGAGTCCAGATTGACAGAGCATCCCTCATTTCGGGATGGACACCCAAAGTCCCTTTGTGTGACAGGGATAAATACTAATCTACTACCCAAAGCCCAATAGATTGCCTAGCTCTCCTCACTGACACCTAAATTGAGGGAGTCTGGATCAATCCCATGCTGGCCTCTCAGGATTAAGTCTGGGGTCCATTATCCCCCCATTGTTCAAGTAAGCTGTTTCTCTGGGTTTCATCAGTCCAGGCCTGACCCCTTTGCTCATCACTCCTCCCTCTCTGTCACTGGTCTCCAGGAGTTCAGTTCTATGTTTAGCTGAGAGTTTCTGCCTTTGCTTCCTTCTGTCACTGGATGGAGGTTCGAGGATGGTATATAAGATAGTTGTCAAAATCATTATCAGGGAGGGGCATTTAAGGTAGTCTCTCCCCTACTGCTTAGTTTGCCAGTTGGTGTCATCCTTGTAGATCTCTGGACATCACACTAGTGCCAGATCTCCCCTGAAACCTAGAGTGACTCCCTCTTTAATGGTATCTCTCATCCTCCTTTTTTACAAAAAAAATCTTGGTCTACCTATACTAAGACTGGCTTCAAACTTCCCAAAGTAGTCATTTTAAGGCATATGATAAGACAGCCTTCCTAATAAGTTCTATTAAGGGAAATACATAATCTTCCATACTTTCTCATTGTTTAGCATAAACATTCCAAATAAGAGCATCAGTTAAGGACAATGCAATTCCCCTATAATGAGATTGATAACATCCTTATATGACATCCTAGAGCCTTCATCAAGTGGCTGATGGAAGCACATGCAGATACCCTTAGTTAAATGATGAACTGAAATCCTGGAACCCACTTGCAGAGAGGGAGGAATGTCCCATTCTAAATAAGATTCATAATTAAGAACAATTTTAAAAGCTGAGGAATACAAATGATCTTGGATTCCAGGTACCGTGACATACAGATTAAGACAGACTCAATAGAGCAAACAAAAATTAAGGTTTTTGGGAAAATATTTTGTATGTATTGATTAAAATGGGAGCATGATGAGCCAAAAGTATAAAGATTGAGGGACAGATGGACAGCTGTGGGCTCCAAATAATTGAGCAACCATATAGCAAATTATTGCTGTCATGAGAACAAGCCTCCAGCAGCACAGACATTAAAGTGGGTATACAGTCAGTGGACTTTCACTAGTCTATCTGAGTTAGTAACCCTTAATTCCTTGAGGGTTATGAGAGCGAGCAAACACTCAATAATCAAGTCCTGAATTTGAATATCACTCTCTTTATGGGAACACTTGTTTCTTAGGGCTGAATGCAAGGTTGCTCATTGGCTGGTCACTGTGACATTCCAAGTCTGGGACATTTTCATGATTTTTTTTCATGATCCTGTCTTATTGTTTACTGAAGAAATGATTTATGACCCTGAAAATATTACTACATGCCCTCCAGAGTTTTTCCTATGTATGGAGATGAGTATCTAGGAAGAAGGGAGAGAAGTGGAGAGAAAAACCTACTTGTTGACAGAGATTAATGCAAGAAACAACAGGAGATGTGTACTAAGAAATGAACATATATATGCACTGAGGCCTGAGAAAGGGATGAGTAGTGTTTTACAAGGGATGAAACAGTGTATTTAGGCAAAGTCTGAGAGAAGAGTGATGTGTGCAAGACTTAAGAAGAAGGGCAAGAAAAGTGTGAAGTGATGTATCTAAGTAGGTAGAGAGATGTAACAAATATACCTCTATAGAAGAGAGACATGTATGTAAGAAAGATTTATGTGAGGAAAGAGATGTGACTGTGTGGTGAAAGATGAAAATTGAATTTCTGTCAAATTTACAAAGCGATGAAAAATTGACATGTACACACAAAGTATGATATCTTACATTGAAGAAGTTATAGTAACTGTGTTTGTTGAGTCATTTTTCCAGTTTTGAAAATTAGTTCTGGTGTATTTGCTTGTCTGGTGACTACTTTCGTATTTGCTAGCTCATATTCTAAAAGTAGGTATAATTGCCAATGGTTCTTCTTCATTTCTGTCTCAAAAATTTTATTGGGGAAGTATTGCTCTCAGAATCATTAGTACTTAATAATCAAGCAGTTTCTTCCTTAAGGAGAAATTGTGATTACAATTCATTTCAAACATTCAAATAACTTATTTTTTTGAATAGAGAATGTTGGGCCATCGATTTCCTGTACCATATGTCACAAGTGACAGATATAAGTGGACTGGTTTGAGAATGTAGAACATTTACATAGATATAAAAGGGACTCAAAATCTGGGATCATGTGTTTCCTGGCATCTGATTGGAATCAACTACACCCCTCTCTCTGTACTACCTGCGTCTACATAGATTCAAAGATTTATTACATATTGTTTGATATTTGAGTGGCTGGGTTATTATCTAAAGCAGGTATGCATTCGTGGCTCATCTTAGTACTTTCCGACTCTACATACTTCAACTGTTGAGGACTAAGTATTTGAAGTAAACAAAATATGCTGGATAGATTTTACATAAACTATCGGCATCTTAATAAATACACAGGAGGACTTGAAAGTTAGTTTTCAGTTAGATTGCATCTTTTTCTGTGTCTCAGTGTCTGGTCTTGGTCCTAACTCTGTCCATGACAGCAGTTGTAGTTCACTCAAAAACCCACTCAGGCCTTCAAATAACCAGCCCGTCTTTTTCCACACATACACTTGTAATGATTCAATCTCTTAAAAATTTCCTAAAGCCATTTGTTCTGTATTTTCAGGTCATGTTTTCTGGCAATTTTTCATATTGCAACTCCTGTCACTTATTAGCCTACACTAGTTTATACTGAATGTTCACCATTCCAAATCAGCAGTAATTGAAAACAAGTTATATTTATTGATAATTGAGAAAATAGTAATACACAAAAGGCTAAAAACAATCTATATTACATTCTGTAAAATTTCAAGCACTAGTAACACAATGATAGTTATACAAAGCTATTATAAATAAGAGATCAATATACTGTCACATAAAAGATACAGAAAATTTCACCGTGATATTGAATTGGATGGTTATTACTAAAATTACCCTAGGATAAATAAGAATTCACATTTTCAAATCTGTTTGCCTTCAACTATTATTAAATTCAATGCATACCATTTTAACATTTGATTTCAGTTTAGTACTGAGATATATATATCAATGCATATATAGATGATTTTTCCAACAATACTTTTATGAATAACCATTTTATTACTTTGTAGAATGGTTTTAAAACAACAATGATCATAAGGATTAGTAATGCCCCTCATCTAACTGTGAATAAAGTTTCAACATATGCTAAAAGTTTCCTTCTTCTATACACATTATAAATCACCTTATCTTTGTAAGAGTATTGGGACACTAATTCCATATTGAGTTGTTCTCTTACATGTATTTTCAGAATGCTCTAGGTTTTGACCATCCTTTGAAAATTTTGTATAGCAGTCTACATGTGTTTGGTTTATTTCCATTACTAATGATTTATGGGGTTTGACTATTTAAGCACCCCATAAAAGTTCCTACGTTTTTATTAAAGTTGTCAGTGTTCATCTAGTATAGATTCTGTATTATTCGTTAAGATTTAACTACCCAAAAAAGGATTTCTTATGTGATTAACATTCATAAGTTTTCTCTCAAGTTTGGATGTACTGAGATTTTGCTGAAATGATCTAGGAGAAAAAGACACAGCATGTGACATATACATTCAATATTAAGGATTCTGCCTTCTCCAGTCATTAAGTGTCTTTAAAGATGTGAATCATAGGCAAAAGAACTGGCCACAATTTGTATATTTTCTGCCATTTCTCTTTTATGTATTCTTAGATGAAACGTAAGTATTGAGCTCTTTGTAAGGGACTTATCACATGCATCTCATTTGCAAGGTTATACTCCAGGATATATTTTTTGATGAATTTGAAATGTTGACCTCAGTTTAAGGGACTTTCCACAATCTGAACACTTGTAAGGTTTCTCTCCAGTGTGTGTTCTTTGAAGAACTTGAAGATTTTACCATGTGGCGAAAGACTTAGCACATTCTATGCTATTGTAAGCTTTCTGTTCAGTGTGTATTCTTTGGTGAAATTGAAGTGTGGAGATTTGTTTAAATTGTCTACAATCTGAACATTTTAAGGTTTCTGACTACTATGTATTCTTTGATGAACTTTAAGTGATGATCGTTTCAAAAAGGTCTTGACACACATACTACATTTGTATGGTTTCTCTCCAGTGTGTATTCTTTGATGAATTTGAAGTTACGATCCTGTGGTAAAGGATTTGCACATACATTACAGCTATATGGTTTCTATCCAGTATGTATTCTTTGATGAACTTTAAGATTTGGCACTGTAGGAAAGGACTTTCCACATTCTTTACATTTATCAGATTTCTCTCCAGTATGTATTCTTTGATGAACTTGAAGGGATGATCTCTGTTTAAAGGCCTTGTCACAATCTGAGCATTTGTAAGGTTTCTTTCTAGTATGTATCCTTTGATGAACTGGAAGGGATGATCTCTGATTAAAGGACTTCTCACAATCTGAGCATTTGTAAAGTTTCTCTCCAGTATGTATCATTTGATGAACTTGAAGGGTTGATCTCTGATTAAAGGACTTGTCACAATCTGAGCATTTGTAAGGTTTCTCTCCAGTATGTATCCTTTGATGAACTTGAAGGGTTGATCTCCAATCAAAGTTCTTGTCCCAATCTGGGCATTTGTAAGGTTTCTCTCCAGTGTGTATTCTTTGATGAACTTGAACTTATGAGCCTTTAATAAAGGCCTTGTCACACATACTACATTTGTACGGTTTCTCTCCAGTGTGAATTCTTTGATGAACTTGAAGGGATGATCTCTGAGCATTTGTAAGGTTTCTCTCCATTATGTTTTCTTTGATGAACTTGAAGGGCTGATCTCCGATTAAAGGACTTGTCACAATCTGAGCATTTGTAAGGTTTCTCTCCAGTATGTATTCTTTGATGGACTTGAAGGGATGATCTCTCTTTAAAGGCCTTGTCACAATCTGAGCATTTGTAAGGTTTCTCTCCAGTATGTGTTCTTTGATGAACTTGAAGGGATGATTTCCGATTAAAGGACTTGTCACAATCTGAGCATTTGTAAGGTTTCTCTCCAGTATGTGTTCTTTGATGAACTTGAAGGGATGATTTCCGATTAAAGGCCTTGTCACAATCTGAGCATTTGTAAGGTTTCTCTCCAGTATGTATTCTTTGATGAACTTGAAGGGCTGATCTCTGTTTGAAGGACATGTCACAATTTGAGCATTTGTAAGGTTTCTCTCCAGTATGCATCCTTTGATGAACTTGAAGTGTTAATCTCCAATCAAAGGCCTTGTCACAATCTGGGCATTTGTAAGGTTTCTCTCCAGTGTGTATTCTTTGATGAGCTTGAGCTTTTGAGCCTTTAATAAAGGCCTTGTCACACATACTACATTTGTACGGTTTCTCTCCAGTGTGAATTCTTTGATGAACTTGAAGGGATGATCTCTGTTTAAAGGCCTTGTCACAATCTGAGCATTTGTAAGGTTTCTCTCCAGTATGTGTTCTTTGATGATCTTGAAGGGCTGATCTCCGATTAAAGGACTTGTCACAATCTGAGCATTTGTAAGGTTTCTCTCCAGTATGTATTCTTTGATGGACTTGAAGGGATGATCTCTCTTTAAAGGCCTTGTCACAATCTGAGCATTTGTAAGGTTTCTCTCCAGTATGTGTTCTTTGATGAACTTGAAGGGATGATTTCCAATTAAAGGACTTGTCACAATCTGAGCATTTGTAAGGGTTCTCTCCAGTATGTATTCTTTGATGAACTTGAAGGGATGATCTCTGTTTAAAGGCCTTGTCACAATCTGAGCATTTGTAAGGTTTCTCTCCAGTATGTATTCTTTGATGAACTTGAAGGGCTGATCTCTGTTTGAAGGACATGTCACAATTTGAGCATTTGTAAGGTTTCTCTCCAGCTTGTATTCTTTGATGAACTTGAAGATTTGAGTATGCAGTAAAGGACTTTCTACACATAAAATATTTGTAAGGTTTCTCTCCATTAAGTATCCCGCGATGAGCATGAAGTAATGAACTCTGAGTAAAAGACTTGCCACATGCTTCACACATGAAAGTCTTTTCTTCTCCAGTTTGGGTTGTCTGATGAACCTGACAAGAAAACCTATGGGCAAAAGAATTGCAGCATTCTGTACAGTTGAAATCTTTTCTTTTCTTTCCAGCAACATATGATTCAGGCTCTTCATTGACATATCTGCAGGCAGAGAACTTCTTTTTATGTAATTCCCCAGCATTGTTTCTTCCAAAACATCCTAATATTACTCTTTGAGAAGTATGCTCTTTCAGCACTTTTGGGAACAAATCCTGAAATGGATAATAATAGAGAGCTGGAAGAAATGAAAGCAAATAATGTCTAAGTGTCTGGAATTTGGGAAGAATAATGTGGAAACTTATACAAAAAAATGGACACCGAGGTAAACTGTAGCAAAAAGAGGAATCACAATAAAAGATTCTATTTACATTGAAATTGTATTATTTATTCAGGTCAATAATAATCTTCAAAACATATGAATTATAAAATGTTCCTATAATTAATTATTATTAATGCATGCTAATATAGAGTCATTCAAAGAGAGTGATTATTACAAAGAAAACAGTAAAATGATCATGAACAACAAATATGGGCATAAGGAATTAAATGTTCAAACATGATGAATATTAAGAATGCAATTTTATGAAATTATGTTTTATAATATGAATAATTGGGAAGGGACCTCTTTGAACACTGATAATTATATAGGTTTTCCATTTCTTTAGCTACCTAAGAATATATTGAATTAGTAAAAGACATACTGTATAAAATTCAGGTTTTCAAAGTATATTGAAATTTAGAATTTCAAAATAAAATAAGAACTCAGAGTTTAAATGGTAAATTCACAAACTATTTTAAATGTAAATTTAATTAAAAGTAATTATATCAATTCACAGCCGGCTTTTCCTAGCCATTTTCATTCCTAATATTGCAGTATTTACTCATCAATAATTTAAACATATTTTGATAATTGTTTATAGATATGTAATTTTTCTAAATACATATAGATATATATGTGTGTGTGAGAGTGTGTGTTTGTGTTTGTGCTTTATTGATAATGAATATATAATTTCAGATCACATCATGTTACATTAAACAAGTAATATGGTACATAACCCATGGCACAGGATAATTTTTTGCTCACATCATTCAATAGGTGCATTTGATAAGGTATTTGTCAAACAACGGACATTATCGATTGGGAAACAGAAATTTTGTAACATTCTTACTTTATGATGAATGGATGGTTAGTACAAAAACATGAAGTTTTGGGAGGCAAATAACACCAAGTTTATATAACAATTACTCAAATATATATGCTATTTTGTATTTTCCTACAATATTATACCATGTAAGTATGTGACACATTAAGGAAGTAGTGGCTTTTATGGTGATCATAATAAAACAAACAAACAAACCCCACAATCTAGCATTAATTTTAGGACTAGGCCTATGTATCTTCATTAAAAATTATTTGTGCAAGACTAATATTATGTGTAATGTTTATACTCTGGCTTTTCTCTGTCCTATCTGTATCCCTTGAACTTCAAGTTATCATAATCTGATACCTAAGACTTCAAGTATAAAACCAAAGAATATGCTAAATCCAAAAATTCTTAACATATAATATTCAAGACATTGTGAGAAGGCCAAACTTAACAATAATAACTATAGAAGAATGTGAAGATGTCCAACTCAAAGGCACAGACAACATATTCAACAAAATCATAAAAACAACTTTCCCAATCCAAGGTTGTAAATGCATAAGAAAGGACAAGTAGCTTAAAGAAAACCAAATAGACACAACTCAAAATAGTTCCTTCCCAAAAATATTAAAAAATAAAATATACATAGCAAATAAAGAATACTAAGAGATTCAAAGTAAAAAGGCCAAAAAATATGAGGGTATACCTATCACAATTACTCTGGACATCTAGGTGGTCCTAGATACATGTTCTAAAGGGAATAGTACAAAAGGGATTCCAGCCCAGCCTACTCCCACCAAGTTCTCAGTTATTGTAGATGGATAAAATTATATAGTTTATAACAAATCCTGACTTAAAAAATACATATCCCCATATCCAGCCATACAGTATGTACTAGATAGAAAACTCTATGTAAGGAAGTTAGTTATAGTCACAAATACATACATATAATAGATATTACCATTTTGTCAAATTCCCCACAAAAATGATACACACACATGCTCACATTACCACCACTAACAACAAATACAAAACTAACAGAAATAAAAATAAATGGTCTTAAATAATCTATTAATATCAATAGTCTCAGCTTTCCTATAAAAGAAAGGGACACAGGCTAACAGAATGCATAAGAAGACAGAAGCCATCCTTCTAGTGCATACAGGAAAGACAATTCATTTTCAAAGACATATATTACCTCAGAGTAAGGGTCGAGAAAAGATTATCCAGCAAAAAGGACCTAATATTAAAGCTTGTATACCTACCCTGATATCTAATAAGTTAGACTTCAAAATTTAATCATAAGTGATGATGAAAGTGATTTCATATTCAACACAGGAAAAATCCAGCAAGGTTAAGTCTCAATTCTGAATATCTAGGCCACATATAAAAGGTACACACATTTGTAAAAGAAACAGTACTAAAAGTTAAGTCACTCATTAAACCCTACATACAAATAGTGGAAGACTTTATCAGCCAACTCTCACTATGCCTTATCATAGAAATAAAGGAACTAACAGAAAATTTGACTCAACTGGGAAGAAAAGACAGCTACAAAACATTTCATCCAAATACAAAGAATGTACCTTCTTCTCAGCACCTCAGGGAACGTTCTCCAAAATTGACCATGTGGACAGCAACAAAGAAACTTTAACAGAAAAAATAAAATTTTAACAACACCCTGTATCTTATCAGATCTCCATGTTTAAAGTTACAATTCAACAAAAACACACATTGAAAACTGCCTACTGACTGAAATTGAACAGTGTTTGTTTGGGTCAACCTCGGTCAATGAAGAAATAAACAAAAAAATTAAAAACTTCTGAGAACTCAATGAAAATATATCCAAAACATACAGGAAATTATGGGCTACATTGAAAGCAACACTAAGAGGAAGGTTTATATCAGCAAGTACCTACATAAAAGAAATGGAGAACTCCCAAATTAGTGACTTAACAGAATACCTGAAATCTTTGGAACAAAAATAATGAAACTCACAAAGGAGTAGATGCTAGAAAATTAAAATGAGGGTTGAAATCAATAAAGTAGAAACAAAGAAAATAATACAATGAATCATTGAAAGAAAGAGTTGGTTCTTTGAGAAAATCCATAATATAGACATACCTTTACCTACACTAACCATAAAGCAAAGATAACATGTAAATTAAGAAAATCAGAAAGGAAACAACAACAGACACTTAGAAAAATCCATAGAACAATCAGATGATACTTTGAAAAACAGGACTCCACATAATTAGAAAACTCAAAGGAAATGGAAAATTTTCTGTACAGATATCAATTACCAAAATTAAATCAAGAAGAGATATACATTTTAAGAAGACCTATAGACCTATAGAATAAGAAACCATCAACAAAGTCTCCCAAACAAAAAAGCACATTGCCAGATGCTTTCAATACAGAATTCTGCCAGAAATTCAAAGAAGAGCTAATACCAATATTGCTCAAATTGTTTCACACAATGGAAGTAATGGGTTCATTTGCACCTGTTTTAAGGAACTTACAATTAAATTGAAACACAAAACACACAGACATGACTAAGACTGAGAACCTACAAACAATCTCCCTCATAAAAATTCATGAAAAATACTCAATACATACAAGCAAATCTAATCCAACCTACCCTGATCAAGACGGTTTCATCCCAGATATGCAGGGATTATACATCATACAATAATCTGCCAAAATAATCCACCACAAGTAGAGACTGAACTGAAAAGGAATAAAACATGAACATCTCCCTAGATGCTGAAATAGCCTTCAACAAAATCCCATAATTTCATGATTAATGTCTTGAAGAGAAAATGGATAACAAGAACATACCAAAAAAAGATAAAGGAAATATAGGGCTAGCTAACAGTCAACATAAAAAATCGAGAGACTCAATGTTATTCCTTTAAAACAGGAACAAGACAAGGTTGTACACTCTCTCCATACATCTTAAATCTTGTACGTGAAGCTCTAACTAGAGGAATACGACAACACGTGGTTACAAATGGGAAAGGAGGACTTCAAATTTTCATTATTTGCAGATGATAGTTTTTTTTACATAAGTGAACAGAAAAATTCCAACAGAGAATCCATACATCAGATAAACACCTTTAGCAATATTGCAGGATGAAATATTAAATACAGAATATTAGCAGTCCTACTATATGTAAAATATAAATGGGCTGAGAAAAAAATCAGAGAAGCATCAACATTTAAAATAGCCACAAACACAAAGGACACAGTCAGCAAGACAAAAAGGCAGCCCACAGAATGGGAAAAAATATTCACTAATTCCACATCTGACAGAGGGTTGATCTCCAAAATTTACAAAGAACTCAAGAAGCAAGTCTTCAAAACAGCAAAGGACCCAATTAAGAAGTGGGCTGCAGAACTAAATAGAGGAGTCTAAAATGGCTGAGAGGCACTTGAGAAAGTGCTCAACATCCTTAGCCATCCGGGAAATGCAAATCAAAGCAACTCTGAGATACCATCTCACTCCTGTCAGAATGGCTAAAATCAAAAACACCAATGACAATTTATGCTGGAGAGGATGTGGTGAAAGGGGGACACTCCTCCATTGCTGGTGGGAGTGCCAGCTGGTTCAGCCACTTTGGAAAGCAGTATGGAGATTCCTCAGAAAAATGGGAATAAACCTACCACAAGACCCAGCAACTGCACTCTTAGGCATATATCCAACAGATGCCCATTCATATAACAAAGATGTCTGTTCCACTATGTTCATAGCAGCTTTATTTGTAATAGCCAGAACTTGGAAGCAACCTAGATGTCCCTCACCCGAAGAATGGATAGAGAAAATGTGGTACATCTACACAATGGAGTACTATTCAGCAGAAAAAATAATGGAATCATGAGATTCGCAGGCAAATGGATGACACTAGAAGAAACCATCCTGAGTGAGGTAACCCAGTCACAAAAAGAGAAACATGGCATGTACTCTCTCATATATGGATTTTAGACATAGATCTGGGGAGTGCCAGACTACAATCCTATTGCCAGAGAGTCTGGGAAACAGAAACTTCATTTACTGGCTGGTTAAGTACTGAGCTGAACTCAAGAAAGC